GAACCAAGGAGCAGAAATGTCCACGACTCACATTCAATAAAGTTAATATGAGATGAGGAAAGAGCCCAGTTTCATACACAAACACACACAAACACACTGGTTTGTTCAAAGTGTGAAATTGTAAATACATTGAATGTTTGTGAGACTTTTTTCACGGAGCATTCAGAACTGGTGAATGAAGAAAACTTTTATTTTCTTCCTGTTATCCTGAACACTTGTGTGTTTTAAACGCTGCACATTACAGCAGTGGAACCACCCGTTAATGGATTTTATCTTCCTATTAGCATAGCATAGCATCTTTATTTATAATGCACTTTACATCCAACAATGTTGACCAAAGTGCTACAAATATAAAACAGAGAGGAAACAGTTTAAATTACATGTAAAATATCTTAAAATTAAAAATAGAATAATTAAATTGAACGAGTATTAGAGAGGAGAGATGGAATAATACCTCAAGGTTAAAAAGTACTACTCTTACCTCATTAGGCGCATCTCTCGAGTCATAATAGTCTTTTATTTTTAATACTGTACACTTTATAAAAAGCAAATTGAAGAGATGCTAATGTTGCACGCTGCCATTAAGCATAAAATCCCATTATTGTACCTTTTTCTCTTCGTATTTATTACTTAGTTCATGTTTTCTGGATGTATTTCCACACTGCAGAGTATCTGCACAATATGTACAAAACATCTTGGCAGCCTTACATCTCCTGTCAGTTGCTGCTCTTTGCTATTTAATGCCGTTAGCTATTCAATGGCGCTGTGGTGGTCTCCTTTTCACACACACTGGAAAAACTGGTGGTTTCTACACAAAGCTCCCCCGGTGTGCCATCTCTCTTCAGCAGCACTGTCTCGGTATGCCAGCTGCAGCAGAACAACGTCCTCCTCAGAGGTTAAAAGGCACTGAAGCCACGGCAGCATGAGGCTGCGAATAACAAAAGAAAATGATTACTCGCCATAGAAATGTTCCTCCTGCTGCTATAATTCACCGACTTTTTTCTTTTTCTTTTGATTAACCTTTCCTTTTGTGACCCCGTGTGACCCGTCAGCATGGGGCAACCTTGGAAATGTCTTGAAGAGCCAGGGAAAGATGGAGGGGGCGGAGCAGGCGTACAGAAATGCCCTCTATTACCGCAGCAACATGGCTGACATGCTCTATAACCTGTGAGTGTTTTTAATCACACTTATTGTTGCATTCAATATTTTCCTCAAACATTGGCCCCAAATTTTTTATTTGTTTGTTTGTTTTTAATCTGTTGATGCTACTCTGCATTTCTAACCATCTCATCGTCTTAAGAACCTGAATGAATGATTGGAAAAACTCTGCTTTCTCATGTGTACATTGATCAGAGCTCCTCTGAGAGGAAGTGCCGTCTTGTTTTCAATTCCCCGGGGCGCTGTCCGCCTGACAGCGTTATTAATGACGCTGTTTTAGTCCGAGGGGAAAACACAAAACACCGGCCAATACTCAGTGTGATCAAATGTCTGTGGTTTGCGAAACTGTTCCCTTCACATTTATCAGCTGGCTGATGTTGGCGTTTAATCATAACAGAGGCGTTTAACTGAAACCATCTCCTCTTTGGAGTTTTTAAAGCTCTAAATGGTCAGAACTGTCTTTTCTTTTGTCTGCTCCAGTGGTTTGCTGCTACAGGAGAGCAACAAGTTCTCAGAGGCACTTCACTACTATAAGCTGGCCATTGGGAGCCGGCCAACTCTGGCTTGTAAGTACAGCTCTCCTTTTTTTATTGACAATCTCCAGCACTTGTGGTCGTGGTTGCGCTGTGTCCAGGCAACAGCGAACACCGGCTGTGGTTATGTGAAGGGAAGGGAAGAGGTGGCAAAGGCCAGTGTGTGTACAGCTGAATGAAACCTTCAGTGCAGCTGTGCGACTGGTTTCAAAGCGCGATATGTCCACAGATAAAACATAAACATTAAGTGATTTATTATGATCGAAGCCATGGTGCTTCTGTTTATTTTATTCTTGCTTTGTACACTTCATTTACTTATTTTTCTCTCCATTGTCCCGTCCTCCTCTGCTTTGTCTCTTCTTCTCACCACGAGTTTCTCGCAGTTTTATCCTTTTCTTCTGTCATATTTTCACCTTTTTATTTTTTTGCTCCCTGATTAGTGTAAATCACATTCTTACCTGATCATGCAATAAATTAGCTCCCCGTCGTTCTGCACATCAATCAATGACAGATAAACAGACAATCCTGAAAGTTTCTTCCTTTATTCCCCAGATTAATTATACACCTAATCAAGATCACAGTTAGACTAGAAAATTTCCATTCAGCGTGCAATTATCCAATCTGTTAACGCTGATAACGAGGTTAATTAATTACCCTAAGCAGCACACGTTTTGAAGGCGGATGAGAGTGTGACAGCTAACGTGTGTTTTTTCAAGGTTACACTGTTACTCACTGGCTAATTGGGAGCTAACTGGGCCAAACTGACACGTTTATACTCGGCATGCACGTTTATCCCATTCTTTGATGAGGCACTATTGATTTGTTTTATTTATTATTTTTTATATTATTTATTATTATTTATTATTTAATAATAATAATATAATAATTAATTTAATATTTTTTATTATTATTTTATATTATTTTTATTTATTATTATTTATGTATTTATGTTGTTATTTGATTTGTGTCACTTTTTTGAGAGAGAGGATCAGTTGTTAGAAGGCTGACGAAATTGGAAAAGTTTTCCTTTGTCTCTGTGTTTTTCTTATCTGCCGTCCATCGTCTGCACAGCCTGTCTTTGGGAAAAGGGTTCAGATATTTACCATCAAATACACAACAATAAGCAGAATGGGTAAATTGTTGTAAGGTGGAAGAGTGAAGAGTAAAACATAAGCATCAGGATAACGATTTTCAAGGACGTCGGAGGGAAAACAACAAAAAGGAGGGTTTTTTTCTAGCTATTTGTTTTTGATTTGATATGTCCTGATTGATCTTGTTTCAAGTTAATTTATTCCAGCAGCCAGACTTGATGGGGAGTTGTTTAGAGAGGAAGGTCTACAGAGACTAATTACCCTTCAGCTGCGTATTGATCATTAGATGCCGTCTTTGACCGTTCAAGAGAAAGTTTAACGCTACAATATTATGTGCTTTATCACTTGATATCACTGTGACTGGAGCGTCTGATGCCGGTTTATCGTTGTAAGCACAATTATCGCTGAGCTTTTATCGATCGAGTGAAGCGACAGGAACAGTCTAAGCTTTCTGTTTGTGTCCCAACAGCAGCCTACTTGAACACAGGCATAATCCTGATGAATCAGGGTCGCCTAGATGAGGCCAAACGCACTTTCCTGACCTGTGCTGATATCCCAGATGAGAATTTGAAGGACCCTCACGCCCACAAGAGCTCAGTCACAAGCTGCCTGTACAACCTGGGCAAGCTGCTCCACGAACAGGGACACCAGGAGGTAATGACAGGTTGCAGAACATATTTAAGGCAATAATAACCTTATAGCATGTCATAATAAAGGTTAAGGATACAATAAAATACACCAAGTGGAGGCAAGAATACTGTTTTTTATTTTTGTGAATTCCCCCCAAAACAGGAAAAGGAAATGTCCTGATTGCATTTGCAGTAATATAAATCTTTTTTTTTTTGGTCTCATATTTGTTTTTTATATTTGTCTAACAAACAGATCCATTGCTACCATGAGAGTTGAAACAGAACTCCTCTGCATACGTGAATGTTGGAAAATTTCATACCACA